GACGGTCTTGGCAGTGGCAACTGGCTTGGCTGGCTCATGCTTCCGACACCCAAAACTCGCTTCCAGTGTTCCTACTCCCGACATCTGCCTGAAAACAGCCTACAGGTACTCCAAGCACAGTAAGTTTGACGGTAATTTGGGACTTGAAACGAAGGAAAAATAACTGGACGCAAAACGTATGCACGCCTCTAGTCTTGACTGCAAGAAGTTAACGGAAAAGGCGTATCTGCAAGACGATGCATGCTTTTCAGCAACGTACCTGCAAGACGATGCTCANNTGCATACATATGTTATGCATCTACGTAGAGAACATGCGGGATCTGCGCGACAGGCCGTTTTCGCTGAGGTTCGCGCCAGAAGCTTCAGACAAGCATTCAAGCACCGGATGTCTGCCACACCGATACATGGCAAAAAGCGTTTGTTCAAGCACTTCAGGGAATGGTATCTTCTGCACTCTGCTTCAGCGGCGTAACTTCCAAGAGTTCACCATCTTTCCATGCATGCGTAACTGCATACGGACAATCGGGGTTCATCCGTGGCAACGGAGAAGGAGTAAGAAGCGGACTGCTTGCATTCACCTCTTGCACCAGCAAGGGAGATCCTGGCTCTTCCAGCCGATGATGTCGAGGAGGAGTACACGGCTCCTCGCTCTTGCGCTTGTGGCCACGGCTCGCGGGCTCACAGAGGTTTGACACCTGAGAACTTGCACAAGTGCTAGACTCCCTCTCCAGAGTTGCTTCCACCATCCGGATTTCTGAATCGATGCCGGGGTTGTCCGCGACATACTGCTCGTAGCACCGGTTGATCCACCGGACATAGCAGCCTTTGCAACTGTAGCAAAGCTTCAATGCGGGATCTCGTTGGGCTGAAGACAAGGCATTCTTGAAACACCAACGCAGGCCAAATCTGTTTTGAAAGGCCTTCCGCTCTTCCTCGTCGGGATCTCCTCTGGGAGTCTTGGGCACGACTTTCGTCTGGGTGGTGATGATGAATGGAGGAGGATGGTGCACCAGCACGGGTGTCGAATTCTTGACCTTGGCTCAGCTCAATGCAAAGCTGGGAATCCAACGCAGCTTCTAACAACACATAATTGCTCCTGCTTACGACTGAATGTCGAACAAGCCAAGATACCGCACAACTCACGGACTCCCCTTCTAGGAGCAGCAGCAGAGTGTCATACGGCAGCGGCGTGGTGGAAAGCCGCCAATCTTGAAAAACAGAAATCAACATCTTTTCAAGACCTTGTAGGACAAAGGTGTCTCCTCGATTCGGGCGCAAGAACACGTGATTCTCAAAGATATGGATGAGAGGTCGGGTCAGTGCGGTCTTGCCGCTGTTGGATTCGCCCCACAGCAAGATATTGCTGTTTTTGGCTGTTGTGCCGATTCGCAACAGCTTTGTCAAGCAAAACGCCCATCTTCCCGGGCACTTGCCGTGGTGTTCTAGAAGCCTCTCTAAGGCGTCTTGCAACCGGTTCGGACTCACACAGCTGCACGGAGTCTGAGCTGCGCGACTCCACAACTCCAGTCTCTGCTTGCGGAGACCCGCTGCAGTGGCAGGCTCACACAAGATTTGCATCCAAGACGCAAAGAGACCTGGCATCTTTTGCCCTTGCTTCGCTAAGAACTTCTCATAGATGCTGTTGCCGCGCCGGCGCTGTTCCACAGCCCAATCGATAAGCTGCTGATAGCTTGTGAACTTCATCTGCCGCACGATGCTGTACATGTCAGACGGGCGCAAGCTGATGTTGAAGTACTTGCGCATGCGCTTTTCCATCATGTCTACAGGAAACTGGGAAGAAAAGTATGGATTCGAGTCCAATTGATCTTGTCCTTTGCGAGTCGTGGGCGCAACCAAGTATCGCAGGCATCTGAAGAAATCCGCATGCAAACGCGGCAACGCCAAGTGGCCAAACAGGTGCTTCTCACGTAACTGACGCGCAAGAGCTTTCCACTTGATTCGGCGAGTCAACTTCAGCAGCGCATGCCAATGATACGTGCGCTCCCAGGCACGCTCCGATTGGGCATGCTGCTCAGCGACGATCACATAAAACTCAATGTTGTCAGCGCCATACGCTTCTTTAAGCATCTTCGCCAGATGCTTCTTGCTGTGCGTTGTCGCCGTCACGGCGCCATCTTTCGTCGTATGCGGGAACGTCCAGAAATGCACGGTGTTCCCTTGGTACCTGTCAAGAGCCAAACCAGGGACAGGAGCTGACAAAATGTTTTAACAGCTTAAAAACGAGGTCAATTCCAACAACAAAAGTTGTCTCCGTGGCCTCGTCTTCTGTGTAGCACTTACCACATCTTGAAACATGTCCACTCGGCAGCTCTCATCCTCCGAATCGACGTTCTGGTCGCCTTCGAAGAGGTCGGCTTGCTCGCTTGCAGCATCACTGGAGTCATCACAAGAGTCAGGCGGCGCCCCTGACGATGAATCCTCGTCACTGCTGCTACTGCTGCTCGTGCTACCACTTGATGACAACGATGCTTCGGCCATTGCTTGACATCTTGGCCACGTGCACAAGCTTGCAGCACCACATTTGTGCTACTGCTGCTAATCCTGGTCACCTCAAATTGGTAATAACAGCAGCAGCACCTCTCACAGCTTTTCAGCACCGTGCTACCCTCCCCCTCACCCCCTCAAACAAAGTTTCTGCAACATGGACGACAAGGCAAACAAAAAGGTTTGAGCATGAACCTTATGAGCAAGAGGCTCGCAAAGGCAATTCGCAAGTATCACGGATTCAGACCTGCCTCTGTTGCTCTTAAGCTTTGTTTCGGCATCATTGTTTGAGGGGGTGAGGGGGAGGGTGGTTTCTGTTGTTAGGAGCCAAAGGTGTGATGGAGCTTGTTCTCATCCCCAAACAGCAGGTTGCCACTTGGGGGTTCTTGCATTGGGCGTCGAGAGGACGCAGTCGGACTTGCCATTCGGGCATTATTGGTTAGAATACCAGTTTTCGGAAAAAATGTACTGTTTTCCATACTTTTTCCAATAGTTGAACTTGGGAATAGCCGATTTCGTGCAGGTTTGTTGAGCCCTACTTTAAGGCTTTGAGGGTTTAGGGTTTGATACTTTAGGGTTTAGGGGGCTTACAGTTGGGCAGGAACTACGGCAGTCTCCAAGCTTAACTTTGAGCTGGCGCGCCTTTCGAAGGGCATCAAGAATGCCCACTTCCATCTTCCATACCTGGTGTAGAAGCAAAGTGCTGAGCGTTGAGGGTTTAGGGTCCAGGG